TCAAAGTTTCACTGAAACAGCCTTTAATGGTACATTAAGCCATTAAAATTATTACTAAATGTCCTTATTAAGGGGCAGCTTGTATGTGCATTTTGACATTACTCTTCCCTTGTAGTTTGCCACTAATTTTTAACAGGTTACTATCTCTGTACCAGAATAGGTGGTAGAGGGTGTGAGTGTTTTTTTCGGTGTAAAGTCCAGCAGGTTACTTTAAACTCATCAACAGTTTAAATTGCCAGATTTTGAACTAAAGTGGCTAAATACCAATACTCATTTCTTCCTGTTGATTTCCAGGAAGGGTGAAAGAGGGGCAGGAACCTTTGGCTGAGGAATGGAATGGGCAGCTGCAGGTGGTAACTTTTTAAACTCCTGGGGACAAGATTTGCTAGTTTGTCTGTCAGCAGGCTGTGTGTGCCTGCTGTCTGACACGTTTCTGGGTTTAGTCATGTCTCCAAGTACACACATGACTTATTTTGGAATCTTCTTCTATAGTACTCTTAATAGTTGGGTTTTGTTAGGTATCCTAAGAGGACTGCAACAAATACTGTAGGACAAACTTACTATATTTCTTAGCAGAAATCATATTGAATTTACTTTTAGGCAGGTCTGTTATACCTGCTTCCCTTCTGTATAGATCTTTACTGTCAGTAATTGGATGGACTGGTTAAGCAGATCAAGCATGCTCATATGATAATGTTCCCAATAGCAGGGATTGTTTGATATTAGACTTGTAGTTAAAGTGGAGTCTATCACCACTGTGAGAAGCAGCTATCTAGTGGGTGAATGACAAAGTGATCCAGCTTTAAAATTTCTGTATATTCTTTCAAATAACTGAGAATGTTAGAAGATTGGAATTTCATATTCACTTAAATAGCTAAGTTATTTTTTATGTTTTTAAATGCATGTGATATAAAGAATGTCTGTTATGTCTAGTGATACTGATTGATATTTAAATCCTTGACCAGTAATTCCATTCTCTGGAAAGCTACATATGCAAGTCTGTATGTTAAAACTATTTTCTAAGATATGACTAGTATTTTCAACAGACAGGAAAGTAGAAACACTTGAATAAAACCAATTTAAATTCATTGAAAGTTAGCAGTAAAATAGGCAAACTTTCCATGATGTTACAAATGAAAGTTTGCATTATTCATATACCAGAAGAACTTGATTTGTATAGAACCTAAACTGTATGAGAGCACTGACTTTAATAAAGGGGAGGGAAAAAAAAGTACTACTGTATCCATCCAGAGGCATGAATTTGGACTTACTGAAGCAGTTTGAGAACTGATGGAAATAATGTGCTACACCAAAATACAGAGAGAAACAATATATGTAACAAAACTTGTATAAGATAAATTCTTGTGCGTTAAAGCTTTTTAAATGAAATAGTGTGTTTCATAGTCTTATGAGAGAAGAGGAATGGTGTCTAAATATATAGCTGCCCAGTAGAATGAGTGTCAAAAGTCAGAGCATGACTACTAACTAAGAGGAGGAGAGTGGCATGTTTTATGACACCTATTCTGATTTTCCCTGTTTTACCACTTAAGATGTCATTGCATTGCATTTTGAAAGAGACTTTTGGCTAGAGTCTTTAGTTGGGTCGTCAGAAGTCTGACATGAATTACGAGAACTGCAGAAATCTAAGTGAAACATGACTTTGGATATCAGGTATGACTTCATGCAGCATTGTTTGTGCAGGTTCTGAATAGACATGGCATTAAGGTATTTTGGGAAGAAAAGCTTTAAAAGGAGATGTAGGCCTTTCATTTGTTTGTTTTGCAGTGTTGTGTTTGCTTCAGTTGCAGCACAACTCTCAGGTTTTTTTTCTGAGAATATGGCATTGTCATGTTGTTGAGTAAGTCTGTCAAATTTTTAAGGATAGCAACAAAGTGCAGTGAAAAAAGCAGTTCAGATCTGAACTGAGCTTGGTCTTTTCTGGAGCAAAGTTTGTATTCTCTCACTTTTCTTCTTTTCACTTACCTAAAACAGTAGCACAAAGTCTGTTCTTTGGCCACCTCTTCGTATTTTACAAAGAAAGAGCAGTGTCTGGGCTGTGTTAATGGGCCTGAGTTCCTGTTTGGGAAAGGACTTGGCAGCTGCTTGATGTCTTCCAGTCACTCCAATTTCTGAATTTCTTGTAGCTATCAGATGTACATGATTTGTCTGGGTTTTTTTATGCCTAAGCATGAAAGATACTATTGAAAAGAACATTTACTACTTTTTGAAGATTGTTTCATGGTATGTCTGTCTTTTTATTTTTTTCTTACCTTCAATGTTAACCTAAGGTAACGTTTTCCATAATGACATAGAAGAGCAAATGCATTTTAAAATAGCTGCTCTGTGTCTATATTTATTCACTTTAAATGCTTTGACTAGGAAATAATAGAAAAAATGCTTAATGTACATCAAGGAGGAAACTTTCAATATCTTTAGATGAGTCAGATAAAATTTTAAGTATTAAGGGTTTGCATCCCATACACCAATTAAAAAACAAGTCAGTAGGTCACTAAGGAGGTAATTTTTCATGCTGAATTAGATGTTGTCTTTTTAGTAGAAAAGGTTTCTCAGCAGTTTTGAGTCATTCATCAAGCATTGTATGCTTACATCAGAAACTCACAACTAGAACTTGTCACTTCTTACTGATTTTATTTTAAACTCTTTTTGTATTGAGGTCTTTGTTTTCGAATTTTCTCCTGGTGGGTTGTCTATGAAGTATAAAATAATGTAAACTTCAAAGCACCTAAGAGTTCCCGTTCCTATGCTTGGCATCCTGTTTTATTAAATTATCTTTTGTTGTATTTGTTATTAGCCAGAAGTTTCAAAACCAGGACAATGATCTCAACTTCTTGTGTATTTTTAGCTACATCTCTTATATGTGGAGAAAGATGTGTAGGTAAAGTGTAATGCAAAGAATTCCTTGTATGGCATATCTTGTCTTTAAAAAAACCCACATTTTAACTTTCAGACATTTAGATGCATCTCCAAAATACTGGAGAAAACTCTTAAGATTAGCTGCAATGGAATGTGTGCCATAACTACTCTTGTACAGCCTATATTAATCTGTTTTAAGGATATTACTTTAAAAGACTTAATTAGAAGTAAGCATATTTTCCAGAACTAAAGAAATAGTATATGCTATAAAGAAATCTTATTTCTAAGGGTTTTACAGTCTAGTATTAAAAAATTATTTCAAAGACTAAATATTGTATCAGTTGTGTTATTTTCCTTGTGTATTTGTCCTTACTGAAAATCATCAATCAGTGCTGAGGAAAAATTGCTAGAATAAAATAGTCTATTAGTATGATTATGTAATTAATCATAGAAGATAGAGCATACTTTTTTTGAAACGTTACTCAGGTTATGTTACCCACTTAGGGTTGTGAGTAAATTGCACTAGATTTCACAAACAGTTTGAATTAGCATAAACAGATGCAGCTGCTGAATACTTTCTTTCTGCACATGGCCACTACACAGCAAGGCATGAAAGAGCAGGCTACTTCGTCTGAGCACTGGACTTTGTAATTAACCACTTTTATAGTCAATATAAATGGCAGTGTTGCCATCTTGAATATACTGGTTGTGTTCTTTAGAAATGATAACTGACCAGGCTACATTAAAAGCAAATTTAAGACCATAAATTCAAGCATTTGAAGTTTTAAAAATGTTTTTAAAATTAAAATAGTTAGTTGCCAGAAATAGGGAAAGCATACCAGAGAAATGATTACATTGTTCTTGTTTTGTTTGCTGGGAATATGCTAGTATGTCAAGCTAGGGGGATCCTTCTCTGTCACAGTATTACTATGGTCTTAAAACAAAACTCTTAATATCTGCAGTATAGCTTGGTGCCATTTTCCTGTGTGCTGTGATAAAACCTTACATGATATAATTTTGCATGCTGTCCTTTTTGTAGGTTTTAAGTCAATAAACATTCAGTATTTCATTTTATTTAGATTTGTTATCCAAATTTTGTATTAAAAGAAATTATTAGATACCTAATTCGTTTCAGTATTGTTTTCACCAGAATATCCGAGTGTTTTGTTAACAGCGATGAAGTCATCTTCAGAGTACTCCTCTTTGGGGTGTCCTTTTAAACCCATTTTACAAGTGAGGAAATGAGGCAGGGAAATTTCATTCCCTAAAGTCAAAACTATACAGGAAATGTGAATGTCCAGATTAAGCCACTGCTCTTTTCAAGTGCTTTGCTATTCTTACAGTATTCTACGCTTGTTACGTATTGCTGATGCATTCTATTTGGAAGCTCTCAGTATTCTGCACTGCTGCAAGACCAAACTCCAATCGCTTCATGTTACCATGCAGTAGGAGATTTAGAATGCCAGTTTTGTACGCTCTTTCATGACATCACATTCACTGTCAGATCCTTTATTTATTTACTTATGCTTCTACTTTCTGATTTCTGTTACAACATCTGTAGCTTTCTGTTCCTGGTTCTCCCAGCCAGCATGGTCTTGCTCTCAGCTATTTTGTGTTCAAGTCTCAGTATTCACATCACTGATTCTCCCAAAATGCCATGTGAGCATTAACATCTGAACAGTTGTTTTGTTTTCATGACTGAGTGCCTGGTAGCATGGGTTTGCCAATAAGATGTAATGGCAATTTCTGCAGAGCTTTAGTAGCCTTTTATTAGGATATACTTGGTTGTTCTGTGCAGTTGGGAGAGTTTCCAGTTAAGCTGGTATATACGAATTGTAGAGCTTTAAAAAAGAACTACTACTAAGAGCAATTTTGTCAGCTTCTGATGACCATGTGTGAGTTAAAATTCTCAAAAATCATGATTTCTTCCATTTTTATGTAGTTTATAGCTAAGGAGGGAATTTTTTTTGACAGAAGACATAAATAACCTAGCTGCTCAATTTTTATGTTGTTTCTAAAAGCAGAAGTTTTACAGATCAATGAGGATTTTTGAAAGATTACTTACAAAATATTACATGCGTTCACAGCCTTATTTTTGAAAAGCTTTTTGTTACTTTTGTTGACCCTTTACAGAAAAATAAAGCCTGCAGAAGACAAGCTAACAACCAAGAAATTTCAGTGATTTATCTACTGCAGTTATAAGAAGCAGGAAACAGTATTGTAAGGGAGAGATTAACTCTGAGTGCTGCTGTTAACTCCGGCTGTTATTTATAGTAATTGCAATTTGGATTTTTGCCTCCACAAAGAAAGACTATTTTGTTAATTAGCAAAACACTGGAGAAGGGCAGATGAGAAAGCACAGTTACTGGATGATACAATGTGAAAACAGAAAGAAAAGAGAGGTAAAACATTATAAAGAAGAAAATGTTTTCCAGGAGATAATTATGATTCGTGCTTATTCTGCATGGTAAATTTGCAAAACAGGTACTTAAGATGGCTGGAGAATTCTCTGGAGTGATTTAAGCTTAATAATACAAGTAGAAATATGGAAGAAACAAGAAATTCCAATACTGAATGTGTTACTAAGGAAAACATCATTTCTATAAATGATTTGAAACGGAAATTGGCAGTGGTGGCTCAGAACATAATGCCTATTTATCCTTATGGAAAACATGACACTTCAATTCAGTGTCAGATAACAATGTGCCAAATATAAAAAGGGATTTTCATTTGGCATTTTAAGTACTCACTCCTGCTTCTAACTATGGTATGAGGAGAGCAGTTCCTATTCTGGCTAGATGAGAAAATGTCTATAAATGGAATTTAGGAGAAAATGCATATATTTTTTCATAGTCTAATATAGTTTACAGTCTAAACTGCTTTTCAATTGTGTTTTCTAGTTACTGTTTTCACTTGTATGTTGATTCAGTTTTTATCAAAGAAAAAGACTGAATGTCTGTTTCTCTCAAAATAAGCACAATTCAGTTCCTGACTGTTAGAAATCTTGATATTTCTTTTCAAGCACATTTCCTTCTATCATTGTCTTTTCTTCATTTATATAGGTTTATTTGAATAAACTAATAATAATTTCCAGAAAACATGTAGTTTCTTACTCTAATAAATTACTCCTGGAGCCAGACAATTAGAGGTTCTTTATTTTGCCACTTTCCTTTCAGAAATATGATTTTGTATCATATCCTTAATGTCTGCTACGCTGTTTGTTGAAGTCAGGGGATCTGTGGATGCAGTGACATTTGGATCATACCCTCTGCTCCTGGCTCACAGTTGCCAGCATTCTAAAATATTTTTTTCTAACCATCAAAGAAGAGAATCCAGAGTAGAATAGAAAGGGTGTTTAAATGTAAAATGACAATGGGCAGAGTATTTTAAACTATAATTCAAGACACTATTTCTTTTATTTCAAAGGAAATTTAAAAGTTAGAGCAGTACCCTTTCATATTCTGCCATGATTATTTTAGGGTTATAGCTTACTTAGGAATCTAGTTCTGTCTTGCAGCTTCTCAGTTTGTATTGTGTTTTGACACAATTATTTACTCAGCAATTAATCACGCTGATGGAACAACTTGTGAGTAACTACTGATAACTGTGAGTAATAACTTTATGGTATATAAGCAAATTAATTCTTTAAAAATCTGAGGAATTTAGATTCCACTCTCACAGACTGGCCTAGAAATAAAGCCTGTCATGTCATAGGTTTAAAATAATATGATGCAGCATAATGAGATGTGTATCATAAGCATTAGAAATTTTCCATGTTATATATTTACCACTGCATTTATTTTATGTTATTTAATGTTAATTACATTTTAATTAATTTAGTTTTAGATGCTCTGTGATCTTATTTATAAAAATATCTAGGAGTTTGATTCTTAGAATCTGCTCTGAATACTGTTTTTTGTATAATACTCTAAGCTATCATAGACTAGATATTTTCATTCAAAAAAAATAAACTGTCAAAGCTGATATATATATTAAATCTCTGTTTCTTTATTAATGTGTATTTCAAGTATTTACTGATGTGGTTCTAGTTTTGTAAGAAAAAAAATTAATCTAACATAAAATGAAGTGTCACAAAAGAGCAATTGTACTTAAGAAGCAGAACTTATTTTAGCAAAAATTGATTACCTGAGTTACCTGGTTTAGTATATGAAATTGTAGTTCTTAATAATAATACTTTTGACAGTGTATTTTTAAACATGTCTTAATAGGATAAATAAATGAATTAGAAATGCAGAATTTGGAATGAAACAGACCTTTTAAGTGGAACAAGTACGATCCAGGATCTTGGAACCTGTGTCTGTTATATTCTGTCTCACTTGAATATCACCAGGCTAGCAGGAGCAGTAGTGAACTCAATACTATGTACAGTATAAATAATCGTCATATTTTGAGCAGCAAGCATCATGACCAGCTGATATTTTCTTTCCTTAGGACCAGTTGTTCCCAAGAGTGCGTGGCTGGAGCCATATGATCTTATCAACACATTTGAGAGCCCTACCCCAAACACTGAGAGAGAGTTTGCTGCAGCAATGACTGTCATAGAAGAAAGTCGCCCTTTTGCCCAGCAGCTATCCAATGTCTACTTTACTATACTTTCACTTTTTTGTTTTAAACTTTTTGTGAAGATCAGCCTCGCTATACTTAGTCATTTCTACATTGTGAAAGGAAACCGTAAGGAAGCAGCAAGGATAGCTGCTGAATTTTACGGAGTTCCTCAAGGACAAGGTATATTTGTACTTTCTATCTTATCACTGCTGTGTGGGGGTTTTTGTTGTTAATGTGGTTTTTTTCCCGGGTAATTACTTCCCTGCTAGCCTTATTTCTATTCAGTTTGTCAAATGAGATGTGTGGGGGTTTTTTCTGTAGTTCTCACAGTGGTTTGGTCTCTTTGTTTTGTTTTGTTCTGAATAAAAATTATCCGAAGGAGTGTTGTTAGATTATTTAAGCTTGGTTTTTGTTTATTTGGGGTTTTTTGCTTGTTTTGGTTTTGTGGGTTTTTTTATTTATTTATTTGTTAGTTTAATATTAAGTTCAGAATAAAACTGAAGTATTACAGCCAATGTCCTGTTAGGAGAGAGGCCTATACTTAAATGGCTATATTTAAAATTGCCAAATACTTCCCAGTCTAAGTCTATTTCCCAGTTGCTTCTGAGGTTTCGCAGTTTACCCATGTGTGTTTGAAAATGTCCATGTTTGCCGTGTGATTATTTTGCAACACTTTGGTGAAACTAATCCAAATATTTCTGACAATTATTCTTGATTAAGTTAAAATTTTTTTATCATTTATTTGAGAAGATATAGTCGTTCTGTGCTTTGAATAAGTTAGTGTCTCGGCACATATCAGGAAGCTTACTTACTCTTTGTCATCGTGAGCTTTTGGGCTCTCTGTGAAAACCCATCAAAATTTACTGGGTTGAAAGCTGTTGTGAGAATTCCTTTTTCTGTTTATTCAAGCAGAACTTTGGCAGAGCTGGGCACTACTCTTCCCCCAAGCTCATCTGTGGTGAGCCAGTACCATTTTCGTTCAATTCTTTTTCTGGGTCACAGAATGTAGAAGACTCTTCTCGATTGTGGTATCCTGGTGAGAAGCCATGGTTTTGCTCAACTCGGGATCCCTGCTGCCTCCCTTGTCTTTATTGTCGCTCCTTGTATTCTTGGATGACGTTAAGTTTGATTTAGGCAACGGAACAGGGAGACTCGTCTTGCCTCTTGTCGCCTTCACCACTCATCTCTAGGTACTGTGAACCAGAAGAAATAACCTGAGTTAAATGCAAAGGGAGAAGCTGTAGAAATGAGCCAGAAATGGTTTCAAACCTTTTCAGTCTTCAATGCTGGGACGAAAGCTAGACATTTGGTGTATATGTGTTTAAATTTGCAAACCAGAAAGAGGCTTACATCCTAAAGCAGGAATTAGCTTGCTTTGCAGAAGATTTACTTGAGGTAGATTTATGTCATGTGTTCTCTGCACAATTTAGAAAGTTCTGAAACCCAGGTTTTTTGCATCTGAGTATGTTAACGACATCATTAGAACTATTACGCCTGCGTGTTTGTGTGTGCGTATATGTACAGATATGTATGTATTCACTAAAGCAGGATGGGAAGGACTGACTGTCTATCCCACTGACAGAAAGACTTGCAGAGAATGTGGTAGCCCCCACTTGAAATCAAGAATTTTTTTGTCAGAAACTTCTGGCTAGCTCTAAGTCCACTCATTCTGGGAAGACTGAATCTGAGTAAGGAAGGAAAAAAACTAGCACAAAACTAGAGAGAAAGAAATAGCATGCATCAGGTTGGAATGTGAAATAGTCTCTACAATGTTACCTGTTGCTGAATCCAGGAGACTTTAGTTTGCTCACTCACCAAATGTCTAGACTATTATATCTAAATAAATGTATATTCATTGTTATAGCAGCTGACCCATGCAAAACATGAAAATCTATCACTCTTCCAGGTTGCTGTTTTGCTCAGGTAGCAGAGGTTTATATTGATTTAAAGGCTCAAGCATATGGTAGATTTTCTGTTTTTCTGCTTGGTTTAGTAAAAGAACATAGTGCAACTATTTTGCACTTAAACTGTACTTTTTACAACTCAACACCAAGTGTTTTTTAATTTTTCAATGCTCAGCTCACAGTGTTAGGCTGTGGATTTGTAACAGGCCTAAGCACACGTTCAGCCGATGTTACATAATCTGCAAATCCAGCCATTTATCGTGATTAACAGGATCAATCCTTGCTCTTTGGGATGCAAATAAGGCTCCTTAATTACTATTCTGTCTCATCTTTTCTATACCTTTGTACTATGTTTGCAGAAGGGGGCATGTTACTGTGTTACAACTCACACCACGTTGTGGGATTTGGCTTCTTTACCTTCATGAGATACACTACAGAGATACCTCAGTAGACTTTATATGATACCATGTAACAAAATAAGCAATATGTAGAAGATGTACAAGAAGTAATGTGAAGCTACAGCTTGAGACATTAAATGCTAAACATAAATACTGAGTATCCTCATAATTACTGATCCTGTTCTGTGTTTTTTCTTAAGCAAGAGAGAAGCCTCAGCAAAAAAACCTACACAACCCAAACTAGAAAACTAGCCTGTCATTGCCTAATTGAAGTTCATAGTGTTTCAAGAAGTAACTCAAATTAGAAAAAATGTTAGTTTTCATTTTCTAGTTTTAACCTGATTACGTACTCTTAAAATTCTGTTAGTGCTGGTATTTTCAGTTTGCTTGTAATTAGTAGAAAATTACTTGTTGATATTATAATGGCTTGGCTAAGATAGAATGCTATAATTCTGAAGAAGAAAAGAGCTTTTGAAAAGAATGTGCTATTGGGCACAGGCATTATTTCATGTTTACTGAATTGAGCTCTTGAGTTAAAACAAACCTTTCTTTTATGAAACCTGTATAATTGAGGACATTTTAGGTACTGAGCAGTAGTACTTGGTGGGACTTCTTTGTTCAAACTGGAGGAATACAGATCAGTACAGGATTTGAGGCACAGGGATCACACAGTTCATGGCTGACTTCCTTTGTTTTGTGGCTTGTTCTTTGTTGAATACAAGGAGGCAGCATTACCTATGTCACCTGCCAACTGTGGTCTTGTTGCTCCATATTGGTAGTGAAACAGGTCATATTTTGTTTCTTAATATTTCAGGAATATTTTCTCTCCAGTTTGGATAGTCACCAATCTACTGTGTGAAATCTATCCTTTGGATCTCATATGTATGTGAACAGTTGGATAGGTACAGCATCTCAATAATGAATTAGAAATTATTATACTGTGTGTCTGATATTGAAATGTAAGAACTGGATCAGTGTTCAGCATCAGCTAAGACCAGGAAAGTGCATATAAAAGCTCTACTAATTTTAAGTCACATAAATTTGTTTGTGGAGTTCAAGTCTAAGTAAATTTTTTCATGTGTACAGCTGAAAGGCACCTTCAAGGGTAATTTGGACTCCCTAGGATCAAATACACATCAGTTGTCTGACAAATGTTTGTCTAACCTCTTTTTGAAATGCTTAGTGATTTCTGCAGCGTCCTTATGCAACCAATTAGTTTTTACTATTCTCGTCACGAGACTGCTTCCTACTCCCCCCAAGACCTACCTAGATCTTTATTTCTGCAGACTAAATACATAAAATATGATTAAGGTATTTATCAGTTTTTCTCTATGTATGAAAAGTAATCAGTTTAAAGACTATTAGCATGCATCTTCCTGCCTCTACTGACTTTGTTTTTTCTAGAATAAAGAAAAAAAGATTTAACGTAGTCAGTCCTCCTAAGTCTTGTTTTCTAGACCTGGAATTACTGCAGTTGCTCTCTTTTGGACTTGTGCCAATTCATATACAGTTCATAGACATCTTTACTGATGTCTAATTCCCCATACTAAAGAGAGTGCTCCAGCTGAGACTTTATTAGTGCAACCAGTGGAACTATGAGTTGTATAAAAGTGGAACAGTTGTGTCATGTGCCATATATATGATACCCTATGTAATAAATACCTCCTGGAATGGTGTTTTTTTTCTTTCTTCCCCCACCCTTCCTCCCTGTCTCCCCTCCCCCCTCCCCCAGTAAAGTAGTAAGGATACAGTCTGTAGCCTAGAAGCTCCATGTTAAAAGTCACTGTGCTATGCATTTGCTGTTTCCTCTCTAAGTATAATACTTTATACTGGCCTTCACCTAACTTCATGCTTTTGATATCAGACAATTTTTCCAATTTACTCAAGTCTCTTGAATAGTTTCCCTCTGAGCAGCTGCAGCACCTGGAGTTTAATGTCATCTACTGATTTAATAAAAATAAATACAATATTCTGTCGCCCACAGTATTAAGAAAATTAATAGCACCAAATGCAGGACAGAACTCTACAGTCTTTTACATTTGTTTGAAGTGAGTTAAAGAACCATGTCTTCATAAACTATCAGAATTGTATTCCTTATTTCAGTGAAGTCAGTGGTGTTACTACTGTAAAATAATTAAATGAAGAAGGGATCCATTCTATTACAAAGGTCCTATTTTCTGGATTATTTTTAACTTTGGCACTAATTTTGTAAACACTTACTCATATATACATACTTGCCCAATTAGATTGAAAGGGACCGATTAGTTGTTTAGAGCTACGTGCTTGGCAATCAGGGACTGTAGCTGTGTTGTAAATAGGTTATGGTGCCTAGCTTTCTTTTTTATTGTGTTGAAATGAACATGTATTTATTCATTATGCTAGAAAATTTGCAAAGAGTCGACATTTTATTAATTTTATCTTTATGGAAAAAGTCATAGCAAGTATATGTTTATTCCATTTTAAAATTCTGTGCCCTACAAACTGATCTACAAAAATAAACTTACTTGCAAATTAACTTTGGGTATAATTAGCTCCTTAGCAGGTTGTCTGCAGTGACAGTGATCTGCACAGTAAGATTACTTCTTTCAGTGTATTTCCAGACCTGTGAAGAGTTAATAACTCAGCCTTTTGTACAGCTGTTCCTGGATACAAACCGGAGGATCAAAAGCAGCCTTTAAACTCTTCCTCCTGTACTAACTAGCTGCTTATATAATGAAAATGCTCTGTATGTACAAGCTTTGAGTTAGAGCTTCAGCTGAGTTTTATAGTTCAGTTCTTTAAGATAAGACAGTAGTGCTGTGGTATGAAGTGATTTCAAAGTGTGCCTATCAAATCTTAAGAGTTAATTCATTGTCAGGTACATTGAGTCTGTGATATGTAAACTCTACTGACAAATACTCGTAAGAGCTTGGTTTGTATGAAAGAGTCCATACTTTGACAATACAGATGACTTTATAGAAAGAGGTATAGTTCCCATTCATAAACTTTTTATAAGGCAAAAATGTCTATTTTATCAAAATTAAACCTGATATTCAGTAACTCTTGCAATATTTTTAGCTGCAAGCAGAAGGTGATATAGAGGAACTTTCTCATGAAAGAATCATTTTGCAGACGTCAATATAGCACAAACGAGAAACTAAGTAGTTCTGACAACATAAAATGCTTTAGTAGCCTGTTTTTTATTTATGTGAACTCTTTGCAAAAACTTTCATAGAATATCACTTTATGCATGACTATACTATTTTAAGGTAATATTTGAAAGTTATTTAAAAGCAGAATTTGTATTTGTAGTATTTGAGTGTAGTTCTCAAAATATATTATACTGATTTTGTAGAACTGGAGAGGTGAATATGCCCTGATTTCTTCTAAGTTAAAAAAAAAAAAGTCTAGTCTTGAATGAACAAAGTTCTAAGCTACCCATCTTTGCTGTATCTGCCTTGGCTAGGCATGGTAGGAATGCTCAGTACACTAGTTATTCCTAGTTATCCTAAATTAAGCCATCCATGGGATTGTGGTAGTTCCAGACTGGAATCCCTATCTCCCTTCAGGATTATGAGGCTTGTAAATGGTATGAAGCCTTCTGTTTTCTTCTTTTTATGCCGAGCGCTGCTTGGATGGACCCAAGAAACCAGTCCATTAAGTAAAACTCATAAATAGGAAATTCTGTATTTCACTGTTAGAGATGTGGTGTTTGGAAAGCTTGATCACATTTTGAAGTGTAGTGAATGATTAGAGCAAAGTTTTCCTATTATTTTTATTCTAACAAGTAGCAATTGATAGTGTCACTCAGCACCAGTTGTTAGGTAGGGAAGATAGGCACGAGGCATTTTCTCAACTTGCATTCCACGGAGATCACAGTTCTATTAATAAAAGCCGTATAAGACCTCTACTACCTTCCTGGATACAATAGAGATTCATTTAGTAATGATAGGAATATTTTATGGCATACCTATTCACCATACCACTTGGGGTAAGGCACCACATTTAGCATTTGTTTTTCATATGCAGCACGTAAGCTAATGGTGTAAAAATGCTTAAGATAGTATGAATATTCTTTTTTGAAAGTTCAGAAGGGAGGGTTTTTTTGGAGCTGATCACCTTCTCTTACATGCTAAATAACTTTGCCTAGTATGATAAATAACTGCCAAAGAGGAGTCATTGTTCAAAATAAATCTCAAGACACTTGCTCAAAGTGAAGCAAATGACACCACATATCAGTAAGACACCAGAACCATTCTCCTCTGAAGAACATAATCTACTTTAAAGAGATTTCGGTGAGAGTTATATGATGCTAATAGACTGGCATGGCCAGAGCCCTGGCCTATCTGCGGCAACAAAGACCAAGCACATCTGTTGGCAAGCATTGACTCTTCCCTCACCTTAAAGAAAATCTCTGAGTGAATATAGCTGCTGGAGCCAGTTTGCATGCTTGCTTCCCTGAAAGGAAGGAACTCAGGTATCCTATCATGTGGATTCCTTTGTGGGATTTTTTTTACTCCTATCTGTGTTTGTCAGGTCCTCCTTAAGAATAGCATTGCCACAAGCTGTATTTTATGGTCAGTATCGTTTATGTGTGTCACCTTGCAATATGTCTTTTCTGAAGATGGACCTTAACTTGTCACCAACCTAGATTTTGTTGGCTTACTTGATGTGCACACTCTTAAGTTAACTCAAATGGAAATCCCTTTCATCAATTGATTTCTTTATTTTTCTGGATGAAATTAATAATAAGCTTATGTTACGTATTCTGATGTAGCTTAAAAACTAGGTTTTAAAAAGTTAATAGCAATAAGAATGAAACATAATCCTGGATCAGTCTCCCTGCAAGGCCTTAAAGACAACTGTTGTTAAAGAAAAGCTGCTAAGAGACTCCAGTACTGGACTGGGGCAAACATACCACTATATTGGTCTTTTTTGCACCAGTGGGGTATAAGGCAACAGGGGAAGACCAAAATAGCATAGCTCCCTGAAGGTGATGTTACCTTCCTCTGCCATAGACTTGTTATGGCCAGGGTTCTGCTATTCACACTCCTCTCTTGTAGGAGATGTTCTCAAACATTTGCAATGCAGGCAAGCAGTGAGTGAAGTTCTGCCAGGGTTAAGTGATGATGGCTTTGGGGGAATGCATTACGTGCCTAAGTACTGAGCTCTGTTCATGATTGCAGCGATGCTGGCTGGTTAGTCATAAATCCATTATGGCATGCTGCATCTGTTGCACTAGTGGATGTTACTCTTTGCTATGGCTAGAGTCTTTCTGGCAACAGATAAAATCTTTCTCTTTATGGCTGTTCTCTCCCAGTAATTGGCTGAAGATTCACTCTGTGGTGCTCTATACCACTCCCATGCGGACAACTGATCTCATGGCTTGTGTCTTCTCTTTTTGAAGCCCTGGCCTGCTTGGTAACCAATTTGGCTAGAATCATTGGCATGACTGCTGTGACTTGTTTTTCTTTAGCCCACATGCTAGCAAATATTCTATGTTACCACTGCCTGTCTGCATGCAGGGGTCTGGCAGGTACATGTTGCAAATCCACAAGACAAGAAATGTAGTAAATGTATCATTGTTTCATATTTGAGTTCTGTAGTGGCTGAGACAGAGCCTTTATCATATCAGAATTTTAATTATTTTCTAAACCTTCCATTCTGATTCCCATCACCCAAGAATACAATGCTTGAGAACTGTAAAAATCTCAGGGTAGGATAACTACTAGCCATCCATGCTGTTGTTATCACAAACAGTGATGATACTCTATAAAGAGTGGGAGTGTGTAATAGACTCTTTTAGGGCTTATAGTGGCATAGAGAAATGTCATTTTATGCTTAAATAACTAATGATCCTTTAAGTATTATCTGCATATCTGCTGGCTTTTGTCAAGATGTGGAGGACAGAGGGCTCTGGTGATACCCAGGTAATACCCGAGCTTCTCATTGACTGCCAATGACTGCCAATATCATTGTATCAGCCATGAAGTATGGCTTGAAGCAAGAATCTGTTTAAAATAAAAAGCTATTCCAGTCCTTTCCATGTCCTGCTGCTAGAGATTTTTTCATTATACTTTTATGATGCATTTGAGTTCCTTGGCATTGAGCTGGCACTGCAGGACATAACAGTGGCCACTGTGGCCTTTTAGGATGCTATGTTTTTGTTGGTAACCACATTTCTGTCATTGTTTCTAAAACTTGCTTTCTCTTGGCTTCTCCTACAGGGAGGAATATTCAAGATTTCTGCTGTTTCATTTCTGGCAATGTCAAATGACATGGAACTCTTGGGGTACTGGCACTGAGATCCAGGGAACCTATCTATCATTTCAGCCTTTATGCTTGTAGCCTGTGAATCACATTAGCAGGAAAAGGCAGTTTCTAATCCTGTTCCAGAAGTTAGTGTGGCAGGTTTCGTGGGGTTGCTGTGACCCCATAATAATCCTGGTAGTAAAAGTAGAGTGAATCTGAAAGTACAGAAGAGTTTGGAAAGTGGTGTGGCTCGTCAGTTGGCTAACTTGGGGAGGGTTGCACACAAGTGCTGCTCTGTGACATTTGAAAACAGTGCAATTTTGTCCATTTTTTCCTACGATAGATTCTTGGTTTTGGAGTTTATGCTATTGCATTGGGCTGCATCATGTGTTGAAAGGTGTGGGGAGGTTTTGTCATTAAATCTGTGTGTTATCACAATTACATCTTTATTGCTTTCGAAATAGAATGAGTTTCCCATTGAAAGGGAGGAACAAGAATTTATTTCCATTTTCAGTCCCACATGTTAAGAATTGCTACCCCAGTAGGGTAAACCCAGAGCTGTTTGCTAACACAGAAGTGTTGAAACTGTACTGACATTCCTTTTTATAAAAATTCAGCTAAAAATGGTTGTGAAGAAAATCACTTGAAAGTTTCCCTTAACAGTTCTTCCCCTGGGTTATAAAAGTTGAATAGAACTAATTATTAGTGAAGTGCAAAACAGTGGTTTATTTAAAGCTTGTCTGCTAAATTAAGTCAGAATTCTAAACTCATCAGTAAAATGCTCCAGTTTTCTTACTCTGAGACTGTAGTTTCTGCCCCTTCCTCTTGCTGCTGTTTTGCAGATCACCGCATTGCTTCCATGAGTAACTAGAATAAAGATACTGTCCTCATTGCTTGTGTACTAAGGCAGGGAAATTAATGACCTATTGTATTTTCTATGTATTTGGATATATTTAGATTTCTGTTATAGTTTTTCTTGTGAGTTTTGGAAGTGTTTGAGTGTCTCCTATAGAGAAAAATCTGAGGATCAGAATCTGAGTACCAAGCCTAAGTAGTTTCAAATATTAATAGTTTTACTACCTAATGAAGTCAAGAGATACAGATTTTTGTTTTGTAACTAATGCAACCCAGCTTATGGATGGCTGACATGAGGAAGATCACACAGCAATTCCATGTCAGAGTGAAATAACAAGTTCTTCAGTCTTACTCCACAGTTTAATTCTATGTTCATCCCTTCTTTATATTAGCATCGCAATTATATTTTTAATAAATTTCCAGTTGATTTCTGATTTTAGTCTACCTTGTTTTTTCTACGTATTGTTTTAATAGGACTTTTTAATGGCTTTTGCCTAGAGGATGAATTATTGTGCCTAGTAGAATTTAGTGCTAAGTTGCTTCTAGAATCCTGCATGGGATAAGCTTTGCCTTCCTTAAAGCATAAAAAAATGCATTTTATGCATTGCATTCTGATGCCTTCTGAAGCATTCCAAGTAACTTAGTAAGTGACAAGTGTTTATGAACTAGAGATACTTTTCCTGGCATCCTTGCCTTGAAGGTGGCAAATCTTAGGGGTAGTCTAACTCCATTGATAGCTTACTGCCTCCTGTGCAGCTCTCTGGACGAGAATGAGCAGGTGCTGCCAGCTCCCCTGGGGGGTCTCTTCCTCTTTGAAGCCATGGCAGCTGTCAGCTCTCTGTGTATCTGCTGGTTTCCTTGCTCCTACAAGTCACACCTCTGAGACTAGTAAGAGAGAATAATACCATGGGGGCTGAAATATTTGTGGAAAGCAAGTTGTGTTCCAGGTTTGTACTGTTTGTTCTAGAAGGACCCACCTTCATTCGCAGCTGACAACGCCACCCACAAAACTCCTACAAAAACATATAGATCTTGTCTTCCAGCCCACTGTCAATCCCTGCCCTGCAGTGCCAAATGCATTGCTTGTTCCTGATCCTTACCACCTTCTCCTGAAAGTCCTGGGATTCCATTCCCAATGGAAAGGAAATATAAAACTGACATCAGCCATGGCATTTACAGAAATTGTGATGAGTTATTTCTTGCCTGAAGAATAGTGCTGATGTCTTCCTGACACACACACATGTATATATGTTCTTAGTGAGGTTTCCTGTTGATTCATCTTCTAGTGTTTATTTACTTGAAGAAAACACTGTGATTTAACAAGTAATTCTAGTATTGAAGTGATATATTTATAATGTGCCTTTTTTATAGTAAGCCCTTTTGCAAAAGGTCTGTTTAAGACTTAATTGCAGAGCCTGATGGCTGGATTTGTTTATTTCAGTCTGTGAGATACTGTGGTTCATTCAGCTAGATAAGTGAAACTTTCTGAAAGTGGCATAATGTCTGGGCAAGTGCAATTTTATTCTCTTGTGAGAACAGCAGGAGCCCACCTGCTTCTGTTCTGTAAAGAATATAGCACCATTCCAGTAGGGCTGTTCTCATGTGCTGTGATTTCAAGGTGAACTTTGTAGCTACTCATTCTTCCTCCTCTTACTCTGCCTAACTATAATCTTGTCTCTGATTTTTGAAGAGAAAAATAAGAGGGATATAGAGAATATCATTAAATACCTATGTATTATTTCATCATCATGAGGACTGATTTTTGTCAGGTAGTAGTTTTAATGAAACCCAGTAATGTTAATTTCTTTTTAAAAAGTTTACAAATGGTTAGTTTTTGTATCCATAGAAGAGGATAGTGAAGGAATACTAGGAGGAAGTAGTGGGGAGGTAAAGGTGGCATCGTAACTAATTATTAGTACAGAGAAATCACTGTCCTCTTTATCCATGCTGGAATTCTATCATGGATTGATTCTTTCTGCAGATTTCTGTTGTATAGTAGCAGTGCAATACATAGTAGCAAACAAAAAGATTCTGCTACTAGCTGGCTGTTATTTAAAAATAATGGGATCAGACTTTCAAAATAACTAGTGAATCTTTTTTTTGTGGTAGACAAACCAGTCTTTAATGTATTCAGTATGTAGTTTCTAGTTGACATCTGCAGGATAGCTTGTCCCCTATTAAAAAAAACCACAAACTCACTCCAACAAAACAAACAAAACCACAAAGAAACTATGGGTGCTTCACAGTTTCGTGGATTGTTCTGAATTCCAAAAGCTCTCTTAACTGCAAGTTACATATGAGTAAAACCTGATGCAGTGATAATTATTGTTTTCCATTTTTAAAAGAATTGCCATTCTGTTAAAACAGTTTTAGTTTCTCTGTTTTAGCTTGCTTGTTAGTCAAGCAACAAAGCATTGAATACTTATGCTTTAAGAATCTGGGGGAGTGGTTTGGTTAAATGATTAAAAAATTAACATCTTCTTTCCATTTAAATCGTGTGAATAGTTAAGACTCATGCTGTAGCTAAGCTGATTCTTTCTCTGTTTTAAAAATAGAAAATGCTAGAGAAGTCCTTCCCTTCCCCCACTATGCACTCACTAGTCCCAGCTAGTAAATGTTACTGAATGGATTTCAGTGTTGTAGCTATTCTACAGTAAGTACAGCAAGATCCTTTGTGAAAAAGCGAAAGGAGGAAAAGAGGTAGTAGAAAGCCGTTTGTGGATGTTCGTCAGACCAGAGTACCTGCACCAATGACAGACAGGCTTTTCTCGAGAAACAAATAATGACAACAAACACTGCTGTTCAGAGGAGCCAGAATCTCCCCAAAAGACGCCTAGAAAGTATAGGGGAGTGTCCTGCGAAACGAAAAGCTAGCTGGGGTATTTTGACCAGCCAAGGTTAGTATAGCAGCCATTTCAGAAACAGTGTACTGAAATACGCGAAGCTGACCCAATTTATAATGTTCTAGCTCTAAACTGCTTTTTATTTGTTGGTTTGTTGTTGTTGTTGTTGTTGTTTTTTCCTTAGCTGTAATATAAATGCATGCTTATGTTAGTGGCAATCTATTGTCTTGCATGAATTAACACAAGGGCGTTGAAGTTATCTGTGTTCTTCCTGCACGCTTATCAACTGATCTAAAATACCTTTTCTTGTTTATCCGCCCTATTTGTTGTACACAAGTGTTTAAGGCTTGACTTACCCTGACTTTTGCTGTCCTGTCACAAGGTAACTGGATACTGAGGACTAATTGTTTACAACAGGGAACCGGAGAATGAAAAGGGGGGAGGAGTAAACTTTACATATAACTTCGTATGTAAAGAGAAGTCTATAGGTAGCTGAAATAGGAGGCAGTGGAGGAACTGCGGGTGACAGAATTACTGTCCTGTACTAACATACTAAAGACAATACTAATACTAAAGACAGGTTTGCACAGAGAAGTACGTAGGAGGTATTTAAGATGTTGGACACTTACGTTTTCGGTAATGAGGAACAAACCCTATAATAAAAGAAGTGTTTAGGGCTGCTATTTTCTGTGCCATATTTTCCATTTTTTTCATAATACAAGTGTGTAAAGGAGAGCTTTGAGTAATGGCGAGAGTAGTAGGAATTTTTTTAAGAGTGACCATAATTCCAATTAATATTGACCATATCATAAGGGTTAGAGTGAAACAAAAAAGAAAATAAAGAAATGAAAGTTGAATTCTCGATAATATGATATCAATTTAAAAAGTGGAGATGTTAAAACAGTCAAGGAAATGAGGAGATGGAAAAAATATTTGATACATTGTGCATAAAAATATTTATGAATTTTCCATGTAAGACATAGTTATATGTTATAGGGATCAGAGCTATTCTTAAAATACTTTTGCTAATTTCCAGTACTGCCAGTTTATAATTAATCAGTAATTAAGAATTTAAGCAACAGTTACCATAACTTCTGAAGTAACTATTTGAATGCAATGGTACAGTAAGGTTGTCTTTATTCATCAATTTTAATATGCAGTGTATCTTTTACCCTCCTATTGTTTACTGTTTGCAATAAGATTTCCTTATCTATAATAACTTTTATTTATGAAGACTTCAGCTAGTTAGGTCAGTAGTTCCCAAAAAACTAGGACATGCTCTCTCAGACAGAAAATAAATTTTACAGAAGTTTATCAATGTTAGGACAAGCCGCTCCTTGATATGGTTCAGGATTAGGCTGTTTTCCCATTCTTATAAAGAAATAGCCACAGTTAGTCAAGTTTTGAAATTTTCAAAGTCACAGTAAAGTATAGAAGGTAAAGTTTTCTGAAGAATCTATCTTAACATGGTCGAGCTACTTACAGCCTCTTCATTACTGCCAAACTGGGTGTCTATATTTATTGACCGACATTGTGAAGTTTACAAGAGACTTCTGTTGCATTTGAGGCTTCAGGTTGTCGCATTTTGCTTGAATAACAGGTATATCTAATGTCAAATCTGAAGGAGGCTCTTTTCTTCCCTCTATTCCCATCCACGGAGGTATCCAATAATGACTTTATTGTTCAGGCACCCTTGCAAGAGCGAAGGAAGAGAAAGTCATACTGCAATGCAGTATGCCATTAAATATGCAGATTGGATAATGGACTAAAAGTGATGTGGGGGATGAAATATGTCATGGTAAGACTTGGTAGAAGGATGAAAGGCTAGGGAAAGGCCTTCAGCCTACTGGCTTGAGGGTCCCCAACTAGGCTATTTTTCCAAAATCTCTTGGATGTGGCAAAAGGGCACACTAGGCCCAGTTTTGTTGCCCTGCTGGGTACTGCTTTTAAGGCAAGGGATTAGGCGCTGTGCTGCGTTCACTCTCTGGTAGGATGGGAAAATACTGAGAATTCTGAGCACAGTTTGGGGAGAATTGCTTGTAGTCTGGATTAAGTTTGAGACTGCATTGATGGAGCAAAATTATTCCAGGCAGAAGTCTTCCAGAGGCTGAACTCAGCTCAGAATGTCTGTATGCCTCTTCTGCCACCTTCTAGTTGGGAAGGCTGCTGAAAACCCCTTACTTTGTTTTAGTGACTTGTCCAAGGAAGTAATAGCAGCCTAAGAGTACTACCAGCTGCTCCACGTACTCAAATAGAATCTGACGTGGCTCTAACAGGTTACTGAATTTAGAGGTTAATGTGATTTTTACACCTTGGCATTCTAGTGCTGGCACACAGAATTTGCAAGCTACTTTTGGCTAGAAAAATAGCCAGCCAGTTGTTGATCCTTGAAGAAAATGGAAAAAACCAAACTGTGTATGAGCAATGGGCAGGGGAGTTGTTGCTGTGCTTTCATGTGACAGAAGAAGGGGCCTGACACACTTCTCCCTGTGTGTGCAAGGCCTGGCACAGAGCCAGCAGCAACAACTGCTGCTGCCCCTGCCATTGTCATTACTGCTGCCTTCACGTAGGGTAATGTTGCTTCTGTTGGGAACCAAGCAAGCTATGGTTGGGTATTGCTGTTGTGGGTTTTTAAAGACTTTTAATAGAGTTTTGTGTTTGTGTGTGAAAAGTATGTTAAATTACAATGCCAAAGCACTCAAAATTTAGGAACTGGTAAAAGCAATGTTGCCTGTGCTGGTGTACTGAATAGCAGGAAAAAAAGGGTTAATGTTTTAATGTCCCTAAAAGCAAATTCTATTCTTATCTTTGCTGTGGCATCTGTGTGTTTTAAGACCAATCACCTAAGTTAAAAGTTTCTTGACTGATCATGGTTATTATTATCTAAGGCTGAAATTTCAGAAGCTCAAAGCCTTCATAACCATAATTAAACTGTGCTTTCAGTGTATATGCTAATGCTTGCACTCTAGAAAAAGTAAGCTATTAGATGGCATTCAAACTCCATGTCTTTTTGCTTCCTTAGTTATAAAATAGTACAACTGGATGTAGATGCAGCAATGGTTTTGAAGTATTCTTTTGTTATTGGAAGAATAGCATGAAAAAGGCAATAGAAAATTAGCAATGTTGTAGTCAGTTTCTAGTTTGGATAGCGTGTCTTAAAGAGTGAGTGATCCTACTAGATATAGAAATACAAAATAGTTTGAATGCTAACTGCCTCATTGAATACAACACTGGAATGGCAAAACTGATGGGTGGTCACATAATATGGGTGCATCATGAACAGAACTGTGTGGGAAAATAGATTTGTTATGTATATCTTTCAAGAGCAGGAAATCATTGATGTTTGCATTTGGAATGAAATCCCCAAATTTTGAAGGTCTAAAATTGCATAAACACTTGAAAGAATATTAGCTTGAACCAATCAAAGTTTCAGTTTTTGTGTGCATATGCTTATACATTTATGTGTAAATATTTATAAATTTTTATATAATTTTCGGTCAAGTGAAAACAAAGATTATTTGAAATATTGAAATGAGGTATTTAAATGCCACTTGAGCTGCATCTTGTCTCTCAGACATATTGTAATCATCTCTAAATCATCTCTAGCCTAAATTCTTTGGAATTCTTTCGTTTTGAGTTCTTCAGTGTTGATTGTTGGAGTTTCATTTGTTGAAAAGAAGTGGCCTCTGATTTGCTGCTCGTATCTAATCATAGTAGTTAAGCACCACACATGCATCTCTTAACTTTTAAAACCTTGACTTAAGATTCTTTTTGATAGTTTCTAACATCAAATATCAATTAAGTACTTGGCACACTTCTTTATCCAGCAAGGGCTTCAGGCAAATGGGTCATCTTGTAGTGCCACGGCAAAAATCTGCTAGAACTTAAATGTGCATACAAAATAGCAGGTAGTTGTCACAACAGGAGTGCAGTGAGTCTCTTGATGTTTGGACTATAATGTTACAAAGTTTTTCTGTTCCAGTTATTGATACTGTCTGTTGCTTCAGTTCTCACAAACTGAAACACAGTACATCTTAAGGAATAAAAGATAACAGTGATAAACTTAATACATTGTGTTTGTTACTTTTGCAGAAATAACTACTAGCTACAACACTTTCCAAATGGGTCTGTTTTTATCATCTCCCAATAATAGACTGTGTCAGGCCTCTATTTTCAGTTCTCCGATGATACTGCTTTTTCTGAGGATTAGGAAACTGTCTATTTACCCTTAAAGCAGTATTTTTCTAAAGTGCTGGGCCCTGGCATAAATCTTCTTCCAGTGAAGTCAGTGAGAGGGATTTAATTCATTTCCAGTCCTCCTTGTTTTGAAAATCCAACCTTTTATTGTATCTTTTATACTGGTTTTGTTTTGTTTTGATGGTTTTGGGTTTTTGTTTGGTTTTGTGTTTGGGTTTGTGGTTTGGTTTTTTGTTGTTTTTGTTGGTTTTTTTTAAGACTACACAAAGTTTTAGAAATAAAGGGATGGGATGACAGGAGTTAATGACTTTTACAAAAATATTTTTACAAAGTATTTTAGTACTGTGATCATAACTGCAGGAATGACTTAGAGGTAATTGCAGGTAGATAAAGGTAAAGGAGCGAGTCTGTAGGAAAATGTGAAGAAAATAGTATTAATGAGTTAGAAATGGCTCAAAGTCAGAACTGCAAATCCCCATTGCTGGAGATTTTTGCTGCTGATAGTAGTTATCAAAACCCCAATTTAACAACCAAAGAAGAAAATAAAGGCAATAGTGAACTGCTAAAAGAAAAACACAGTTTAGCATAGGGATCAAATAGGAATTGAAACATGATCAGAATATCGTTGCTTATCTCTTTTTTAAGTATATTATGAGTAACCAGTAAAATAACATAACGTTCGGCAGTGCTTCTCTTACAAATATATGTAGTAATACTGATTTTTGAGGATACAAAACTATATGTCTCATTGCATGAGGCTGAAGAAGGAGTTTATCCTGCAGTTCCTATTCAGCTCAAGGTTATTTTGATTTTACTGTGAGTTTCTCTTGTGTTGAAATTCCAGTTAATCTATCTTGGAGGGCAAATGCACAGATACTAGCACTTTGAAAAGCTGTTAAATTAAAAAAATAATGTGAAAAATGAACAAAAAGTGCCAGAGTCCTTTAGCATAAGAAAAGAAACTGGCAACTTGTATATGCTCATGTCTTCAAAGCTGCGTTTACTGAAGGGTGAAAGTTCATATTACAGTGAGCTGCTGATCTCCTTCCAAACATAGCTGGAGTGTATTAAGAGCAGGCCTAACAAGCAAGAACAGATTTTTTTTTTTAATTAATTTATTTATTTATTTTCCAGATTGAAAGAAATGAGTAGGATTTATAATTGCAATTGGTTGGAAGTGCCATGGGGAGATGGAGATTTAGGTATTGTATAATACTTTGTAATTTTTAAACTTTGCTTTTTAAATACAATGAATATATTTATTCTTTCTTTTTAGTGTTTACAAAGAAATGTAGACTGCCCTTTCTGGTAAACCATACAGAACTAATGTGGCTTCTAAATATAGTTAGAGATACTTTGCATTCAGCATCTGTCAGAGACTACATCAGTAGGGAATTAGTGCATTAACAGTTTTGGAATAGACTGTGTTTGCTAATGCTGCTGTTGCAAACAACAATGAATCAAAAAATGGCCTCATATTCTTGTTAATGCTTTCTAAGTGAGAGACAGCAAATTTGTAGATTAACAGAAGGCAGCAATCTAGACAGGGAATTTATTTTAAGACACCTTTGATGTTTATTTATGATACTTATTTATTTGGAACATATTCTTCTCCCTGTGGTATTTAGTGATGAATAACTATATTTATTGATAACTCAGTTGGAATGTGAAAGTTTTTTCCCAAACTTGGTTTGCACAAAATATTTCTGCAGCATTTTGCTTCTAGATTTTATTTCTAGTAGAGACGATGCAAGCATTTTGTGCTTAATGGATTCAGCAGAAGTAGCTGCTGGATGTCTCTATATGAAGACAGGATAGAGGGTTGGTCTTGGTGCAAAACGAAGCTCACAGTGGGATCTGGCATCTTAAATGTCACGGGAATAATGACATTAACAGACATTCTTCTGACCAATCCAAGAGGGAAGGAGGTGAAGGAAAGAAAGGTGGAAAAATGTTGCTTTCAGATACCACTTGGACATTTGTTCTGTTTAGAGTTATACACAGCTACAAAATTGCCCAAAGTGTGAGTGTATTTAATGGGCATAAAACCTCGATGACACAATTTTATCAGGTGTTTTCTGCAGAATAGTTAAGTGTCTTTCCCCCTCCCCCCACCTTGTTAATTTAGGAGTAGAATAAACTGCTAAGAGAGTGAAGTTCTCATCTATAGAGACAGAGAGACAGAATTTCAAAAGCAACCTCTAAATTCATTTGAGTTAGAATGACTCGAGTGCTGGTTCAGACACTACTACAGAAGAAGGAAAACATTAGTCAAAATTCTTACAGTGATTGCATACATCCAACCTACAACTGGATAAATATCTGAACGTATTGGGATGACAGAGGAAAATAGTGATGTTTTGTCAAAATCAGGTCACTTTAAGATTTTTGACCTGAGTTTTTGTAGTATTATAGCCATTAAAATCTCAATCACTCTGTGTATGTTTTTTTTAGCTGTTATTTTGACTAGCAATAAGAATTGCAAAATATTGCATTTAACAAACTGAAAGTAAACAATATAGGGAATGATGTATGTGCATGTGCATACACACGCACACACAGATGAGCAGAGTTTAGTGCAAATAATTCTGAAAGAGCTGATCTTGCCTATGGTCCATCTGCTTCCACAAATGAAAGAGTACAAGGAGCATTACAGATACTGGATACTCTGACACAATAGAAATCTCCATGCATTTTTAAGATTGAGTTTACAAAGCTTTCAACTCCTATACTTTTTAACTTCTGTGAACAGCTTTATATAGTTAAGACTATACTTTATATACTCAGCTGTGCTTTTGTTTTAAGTTTTTTATCTCAATAGTATCCAGTAGTGGTGAGTTCCACAGTGTAGATATATGTTCTGTGAGAAGGTACAGCCTTACATCTGAGTAAGTTTAGTTTCATTCACTAACACCTCTAGGAAAATGGAGATTTTACCTCAATTTCCATATTTTGCACTCTCCTATATATCCTATATATATATCACTATGCCCTGATTTCTTTACACGTTGACCAAATCTTTCTGATCATCCTTCATGGGATTTGAGGGGGTTGTTTATTGTAACCAACAGTGTACAAGCTAGTGAATGGAAGGGGTCCAGTAGAAAGCAGAAACAGGGTCTATTTCTGGTGAGTAGTTACCTTAGAGCTTAGGCTGATGATTGCCAGTGATTGAGCAATAGCCTTCTCATTTAAAATTAATTGCCTTGACACTGAAATGCAGTAACTGGCTTTGCAGGCAGTCCTAGTCCATTGCAATGGACTAAATCAAACTTGTTTGTGCTGGAGATTCATCTGCCAGTGTCACCAATTAATCATACTTAGCGAATTCTCTCTGTGTCTCTTCAGGGATTTTGGGGGACTTGATATAACTCAGATGAGTGATTGTATTAGCATTTTATATTTCCAGTAATTTTCATCTTACAGGAATAAATGCCAGTATATCATCTATCAGTAATTCATAATATATTCTGAAGATGGATTTTCCTTACAAAATCTCTCAAAACTTGATTTGCAAAGTTTATAGAATAAATTGGTATCAGCTATGCCTGCAACCCTGTCTGGCTAGAAGAGACCTGTCAGTAGCCAATCTTCTAAAGGAAAGGATGGAGCCACAGGATGGCTCTGGGACCTGGTTGGGAGTTAAGGGGGAATATGTGTATGAAGGTGGGGTTGTTCTTTGGTTTCTTTTTTTCCCCCTCTTTCTTCTTTGGAGTGATAAATAAATGAAAATAAATGCCAGCTGTTCACATTAAGCATATCTAACCATTTTTAGCTCGAATAGCCTGTTAGAATGAGAACTTAGACTTAAAAGCATATTTCTACTATAGCAATTTTTTTAGTGTGATTCTCACTATATTTCTCTTCTTGCACTTGTGTAGTAGCTGTAGATTAATCTCATCACACATAAGGCTTTCCATATTGATTTTCTTATACAACAGCTTTTCCAGGACTATTACAGGCAGGTTTATGTCTTCTTTAAGTTTAAATGTAAATTTGTTGAAGTCTACTAATTTCTATATTCCAGCTGCAAAAAATAATTCCTTTTGTTTTTTATTTTAAATGAACAATGCAAAAATAGAAGTGGGAAAGATGACAACTGATGGATTTATTAAATCAGATTCTTGAAATCAGTATGTCGATATTTTGTTCTCTGTATCATATTATTTATTAGAGATGTTTGTAGTTAATAATAGAGCAATTTTTATTGTCTAGAAACTGATTATTTGAAATACAGTCTCTAAAGAGGGAAAAAAATAATCTCATATGACAGTTGATTTGATTCTGTGCATTATATTTTCTGCTTTGCTCTATGCATTCCAAAATTCTTCTAATTCAAATGGTTTACTCAATAAATGTTGTTATTATTTAGGTTCTTGGGCAGATCGCTCACCTCTGCATGAGGCAGCCAGTCAAGGACGTCTTCTTTCTCTAAAGACTTTATTGTCACAGGTGAAGGCTGTGTTTTTAAAATTGCTTAATGTTTTTAATGTTACTTAATTTCTAAGCGCAGATTATTAATGCAGATTTTTTTATGCTTTGCTTTGCTTTTTTCCACTTGAATTTTTCAAATCAATACATGTTTAGGAATTTTCTCTATGATAAGATAGAATATTTAAAATATTTCCTCTGTATGTTTTAAAATTCTTCCCCTCCCAAAAAAAAAAATAAAATTACCAAAGCTGTATCTAAACATTTATTAGTCTTCCCTTCTTGCATGGTGTAAGTCAATGTAGTTCCACTGCTTTAAGCCCTTAGGTAAATAGAGCAAGTCTTGAAGATACTTGTTGAGGGGAAGAATCACTGAAAGATTCTGTTTTTTGCCTAGTTGTGATTTAAAAAAAAAAAGTTAGTAGCATGGGAGAGACTGCAAACTGCTAAATTTTAATATTACAGTATTGTCATATTAACTACTACAATACTGAAAAATTATACTGTAGAATTAATGAGTGTCAATATTATTAATAATTACTAGTTCTTAAGAATCAAACAACATAAAATGTTAAGGGCTTAATTGTTTTATCATAGAATCATAGAATGGTTTGGGTTGGAAAGGACCTTAAAGATCATCTAGTCCAACCACCCCTGCCATGGTGGCCACCAGACCAGGTTGCTCAAAGCCCTGTCCAACCTGGCCTTGAACACTTCCAGGGAGGGGACATCCACAGCTTCCCTGGGCAACCTGTGGCAATGTCTCACCACCCTCACAGTATAGAATTGCTTCCTAATATCTAGTCTAAATCTACCATCTTCCAGTTTAAAGCCATTTACCCCTCATCCTATCAATCAATAAGTGTTTTTCTTGCTAAAATTAATGGCTTTAGGTATTTCAGACCTTAAGATAGAGAATCATAGAATCAGTTTAGACTGAGGGCGCTGTTGAGTTGTAAAGATCATCAAGAGCAGAGATGCATCAATCTCTCTGGACCCCTGTTCCTGGGTTTCACTGTCCCCACAGTTATTTTTCCATATAAACAATTGGAATTCATTGTGTTCCAACTTGTGTCACCTTCTGTTGTATCACTGTGCATCTCAACAGTCTGTTTCCATCTTCTTTATACCTTATATCCTATTCCTGATTTAAAAAGAGTTGACAGTTTACTTTTATTCTGTTACATACATTAATTGATGATTCCTTTTATGCTCACTGAAGATTTATTTATTGCAAGTAGAATTTTAAGCCTATTTAGAGTACTGTAAACTATTCATTTGAACACTAGTGCAAGGAAGCAATTCTTAATAGCTTTTGTATGATCTTTGTATGTCATTCATGTCTTGTTTAGGGGTACAATGTAGACACACTAACAATTGACCAAGTAACTCCACTTCATGAAGCCTGCCTGGGAGATCATGTAGGATGTGCAAGAATCCTTCTTGAAGCAGGAGCAAATGTAAGGGCAGTTGGTTTTGTTTTTTTTTTAATCTTTATATGAAGTCCAATGCTAACCTTAGTTTGACTGAGAAGGACATATTCCTTGTTTGTTTTTTTTAATTGGTATTTCTCTCTACTCACCCTATTGATTGTGCTGATCTCATTTGATTACAATAAGGTGCCATCTGAAAGCTAGCAAAGGAAAGTGATGGGTCAAAGAAACATCATCAGAGAGATGTTAGGTTAAAAGAAAAAAAAAACAAACCACAAACAACAAACCAACCAAACAAACCACATAATTATATGTGTTAGGGTAGATATCAAACAGTAAGTTTTTTGGTACTTTGTTACAATTTTTAACTATATCCTGTTTAAAAATTCACCTTTCTTTCAATTATGTTCTTAAATAGATTTTATATATTCTAGGTAAATGCTACAACAATTGATGGAGTCACACCTTTATTTAATGCATGTTCAAGAGGCAGTGCAGCATGTGCTGAGCTCCTGTTAGAGTATGGTGCCAAAGCCCAGTGGGAGTCCTGTCTTCCGTCACCAACTCATGAAGCAGCCAGCAGAGGTAAGAAATTACTTGCAGAACAAACATGGAACCAGTTGACAAATGTCTCATAATAGTGTTAAGAAATGCACCCGGTTTTGTCTATGAGAGAGCTTATTGAAGTCGAGCAAACTCTGCCATGCTTTGTACTGACAGGTCACAGTGAATGTCTGGAGGTACTGATATCCTGGGGTATAGATGTTGACCAAGACCTTCCTCACTTAGGAACACCTCTGTATGTAGCATGTGTTTCACAGCAGATCCATTGCATTCGAAAGCTTCTTTATGCAGGTATGTCATGCTTTAAATAAAAATATTACTAGTTTGTAAAATAAACATACTGTACTCACCTTTGAAGTGAGCTACGCTCAGTCAATGAAACTAGAACCCTTGCTTGCAGGACCCTACTTCTAAGTTTATTGTGATGCATGCACTTACCACGTCTTTCATTCTTTTGTGGCATAGCAAGCACATGAAGGAAAAAGAAAGCAAGTAAGAATGGATGTTCAAAAATTTTAGCATCTTCTACAGCTTTGTAGATGTTCGTTTTCTGTAGGAAAAACAAAGGTAAAAAAAATCAGCTTTGAGAAAGGCATTTTTATATAGTAATCATTGAGCTTTCAACAGAACTTTTTTAGCAATATAGTCCCACCTTTTTGCGTTCTTCTACATGTTCTGATTGATCTTTTTACAAGGCGTAGAAGCTGAGTTGCAGAGAGAAGAGGTAAGGTAAAAGGCATTTGATGCTAAATTTCACATTATTTATTTACTAAATGGGAAAGAGATGCTGGAGGCTTACTCTGTTTCAGCACAAGTCCAGAGACAACAGTTGAGATAGCTAAAGGATCATTTGTTGTGTTTCAGGTAGTGACGTACAAGGGTTTTGTATCCTGCAGCACAATGAATGAAAATGTATAAATGAATAATTGCACACCTGCCATCATTGCATTGAAATTGTTGTTCTAGTTAATTGCAGGTTATTTAGAGCTTAAGCAAGCAGTTAAATTGTTTCTCGTTAAGTCACTCTCCTTGTGTGGTTAACTACCCTATATATTTTTTATTTTTAAGAACCACAGAAGTATAATTAGCATATTTTGGGATTCAAATACTACCATACATTAAAAACAGTAACAGAAGGGCATATTCTACATTTGTTGGTGCCCTGAAGTAGAAAAGGGTATGTAAATTGAGAAGATAAGTAACTACTTGCATTAATCTGGTTTTGTACATATTTTATCAGTTTTTGAGAATGTTTTAGAAGTTGAGAAGCAAATAGACAATAAAATAGGCAAGAGAATGATACTGTGGAAGTATCTCACGTTGTTAATACCGAGAACAGTGAGTTGTTCAGACTTCAAATATAATTGCTAAGCCTGTGATATGATTAAATTATTTTACTTAAATGGGAACTAAAAAGGGAGAAATTGTTGATTCAGGGAGAAAAGGTGGTACAGAAGCCAATTTTTGTTCTCACAAGATCAGTAAAGCTCTCTTGAGAAGTCTGGGTTTTTCTTCTGCTGGAATAGTCTAGAAAACCATTGGGGCAAACCCAGTTCTGGGGGGAGTAACAGCTTGCCTATAAGGGAAATTCTTCCATACTAGCTAGTTTTGTTTACCTCTTATATGGATATTATTTTCTTGAATGTGAATGCATTATTGCAAATTAATTAATGTAGTCCATTTTAAAGTGTAATAATTAGAATTCTGTGGATTTGGAGAATTAATGGTTTAGGTTTTTTTCCCTGTTAGTTTTCTTGACTGTGTACCCCACCTTAATTAAAATTAAAGCCTTTATAGAAAAATCATTGATAAGTTGGATGGGATGGGAATTTATTTCAAACCCTTGTCCAGCTTCAACACATGAAAAACTACAAAGCGTTGAAGTTAGATTCTTTTTCAGTTGATGTACTTACAAAAATAAAAATACTAAACTTAAAGCTTGATGAGGGGATTGAATGTACCCTCAG